TATACAACACAATACTGTAAAAGTAATTAAAAGAGAAGTGGAGATGCTAGTTCAAGCAATAAAGAAGAAGAAGACTACATTAGCTCAGCTGATATATATTGTATAAATAATAGAGTCTTAATATCTTATGCAGAATACAGAGCACAAATAATAATACTAAGTAAAAGAATATGTAAAAAACTATACAGGCCATTCTTAAAGTTGATTAAAATAAAAAACAATCTGGCAATAACTACCTCAAATAGTACTCTCAATCACCAAAATATTGCTGGAGTACAACTAATGTGGAAGAGTATAATTGTACATCATATAAACAACCTTACTATAAGGTTAAATAACAATAGTATACTCAGACAAACAACAGAGCTTAGACTAAGACAGGCACAAATATGCAACAAAAGTATAAAATCAATTCTCTCAATAAAAAGTGAAAGGCTAAATAGCCTAAAAGATACTTATAATTTTACAGTAAAGATATTAAAAGAGGCAAACAATATTGGTTTCATATTGAAAAGTAGAGTGCTAGAAGAAAGCCTAAGAATCATTAACAATGAAGAAGAGATCTATAGCCTGGTAGATAAAAAATATAGAAATAAATATCTAGAAGAATCTTTACCTCAACTATTTATTACAAAAAAACTAATAAATAGAGAAAGTACAAATATGCTCACTTGAAAAAAAATAAGAAATCTTTGAGACAAAAAAGGAGCAGGTAGAAAATCGAAATGGTTTGCAAATTTAGAAAACAAGATTATAGCCAATCAAGAGTTTCGTATAATTAAAGAAGTAGATGATCAGGTAGATCCAAACTACTAGGCAATTAGACCAATACTACAACAAATTGCATCAAACAACTGAAAATGCAACATGATAATTTTTGAGAACAGTAAAAAAAATCTGCAATATGGAAAGATTATAGCCCAAAACAAAACAGATAAGAGCTTCACTATTGAACACTAAGAAAAAAAGCCTAGCAATTACAAGGAAAAGATAGAGCTCAAAAAATGTAAAGGCTATCACCAAAACCAAAGTAGTGATAAAAAAAACTGCACCCTAGTTAAAAAGTTTAAAAATAAAGCATAAGCTCTTAGTAAAAAACTGATTAAAAAGCATAAAGGCAAAACTTTTTGTGAAGTACACACACAAGATCTCTCCTTTAAAAAATATAAAGACATCAATATCATACAACAAAAAGCTAGCAATCCACCAACTATATATATCAAAGAAAGAAAGAAAGAACTAATTGATGAATAGATTCAAAAAAAAAATATGAGAAAGACTCTAGCTAACAAATATAAAAGAATAAAACACTGTAAAAAATGGCATATATATATATATAGGTTGCTTACAAGTAAAAACAAGCCTGAAGGCCTAACTAAGAAAAAAATAGGAATAGAGTGAATTGTGTATCCAATAATGGCTAAGAAAAAAAATACAGCAGAAGCAGTACAATTAAGTGAAGCAATATCAGATTGGCTATTATCTATATATGCAGAGTTAGATACTATTGCAATAGCACTTTTAGCAGTTCTAATACAAAGCTTAGTTAAAATTTTTACAGACAGTGCTAATGCAATTAACCTGATCAAAAAAGTGGCTAGAAAAAAAAAGTAAAAGAAGAAATTAAATTAAGCAATAGCAGCATAATAAGAGTAATATTGAAGTGTTTAGAAGAGAAAAACATTATATAGAAACTTGTTAAGATTAAAGCATATACTGGTATTAAAGAGCAGACAAGTTAGCCAAACATGGCCTTAAAAGTAAATCAAGCTTCACAATAAACTCAGGTTGGGTTGTCGGTTTAAGAATAGTACCAGAATAGGAGAGCTATATAGTAGACAAACCTCTGTAAAAGTTTGTAGTAGTTATTTAAACTGAGAAAAGTTTTCTTAATTGGTTAACTAAACTGAATTAATTCATTCAACCAGTTGCCAACCGGTTAAGATTAATATCTCTACTACCTTCAGAAACTCTCAAAGCTTTGCTCAAATTTTTATGTTCATTCATTTTTTTTTCAGAACCTTTACTCTCTCCTTAGATCATTTCATACTATATCGACTCTACAAACCAATTACCCAATTCTCAACCGGTCATATTGGGTCAACTAATTAAGAATTTTCTCAACTGGTTAACCGAGTTTATTCGATTCAGGTCGATTAACTGATTATAGCCTAACCGATTCAAGTTACTAGTTTGTAGAAGAGGTCACAAACATGATATTTGATATAAACTGGAGTCAACTTTCAAATATTAGTAATAGAATAAATAGCAAATATTTAGATATAGAAATAGATTGGAAAAGTACATAGGAGGTATTAGGAAGAATTAAAAGGCATTATTTTAGAAGTGAGAAAAATAGTAGGAGATAGATACAAAAAATCAAATATATAGAAGGAAGTATGTTTACAATATCAGTACTATATAAAAGATATCCAGAAACCTATAAAAGTGATCTTTGTATAGCTTGCTATAAAAAAACAGAGACACTAAAACACCTAACAGAATGTGATATATACAAGGCTTTTGGGAGAAAAATAGAATCAAAAAAACATAAAGAAATTGAAGAAACAAGCGATGATGACTTACATAGAACAAAAAAAACAAGCCTAGACACAATACTAAGTAGAAACCAAAAAGAAGTATGAAAAGCGAAAACTTATAATCATGGGCCTAGTTCTATTAGGCAAGAACAAAGAAGCTTCAAAGAAAAAACAAATCAAATATAAATTTTTCAAGATGATTAACAAAAAATTTTTTCAGAAAATATAGAACTTCAGATACGAAGTAGTTGCAGAGTGAGAAAAAAAAAACAAAATAGACAAATCAAAAAAAAGAAAAAGAAACCCAGAAATGAACCTCATCTCAGAAAAAAGAAAAAGTAAAAAAAGAAAGAACTCCAAAGAAAAGGAAGAGAAAGAAGCACCCACAGCTAGCCACCAAACAATAGAGAAAGAAAAAGAAAGGCTTCAAAGAATTTACAAATCAACTAAAGACATAATACAAAGCTGAATACCAAAACCAGCATGGCTTTCCTCAAGCAAACCAAGAAAAATAGAATAAGGAAATTCTGATAAAGCTAGCAAGAGCTTAACAATGATGTTGCTAAGAAACTTCTAAATAGTTAGAAGATTTACAATCAAGAAAAATTTCTTGCTGCAGCAGATTGCATTTAGATACTTGGATAATCAGATGAGTCTTTATTGTATAGGAGGGAAAAATATTACTTTAGTGGTAATTTTTTTTAGAGTAGTTTATTATTCATACCTTTTATAATAAAGGCAGGATTGCCAAAATATATATATATATATATATATATTAATTTGTTAGCTGAATATAGTATTCAGAAATATCCTTAGCAAATTTAGGTTATATATTTGTTAGCAAATGAATCACATCCAATATGTTTTATAATTTGTAGCATTAATTTAAAACTTCTTAATGCAATCGTAATATTAGCATTTTATTTCCACTTGTCTATTCTTGTATTATTTTCTAAGTCACATATTGGCACCAAGCTCTAGAATGTTATATAGGTTACAATTTGCTATTTATTATTCAAAAAAAAGTTTAATAATTAAATACTTGTCTGTAGTATCTCAATTTAGTCTTTAAAAATAAATAAACTATATATATAGATGAAACAAAATCATGCTCAATAAATAACAAATAAAATCAAATTACTATATTTAAAAAGTTCAATAAATTTTAAGAATCATATATTGTAATAGAACTCTTTCCTGTACCCCTGCATTTCTATAAGTAAACAAAATAATAAGTACCATAAGGAAAGAAACTAGAATAAAATTAAATTATATCTAACTAAACTAAACCAATACAAAGTAAAACAAACCAACAACAACAAGACTAGCAAAAGAAACAACCACCACCTCCTCGAACCTCCTACAACCACTAACTTGGAGAGTGCACAGTTACTCCACCAAGCCAACGAAAGTTACCCCAACAAACGTGCTAAAGGTGGTGACATGTCTACTCACTCCCAAAATTCCCAATACACCAAAACAACACCAACACCAACAAACGAACAGCAAACCTCAAAACACGAAATCAACCCAAATTTCTCCCCTCAAAATACGAATAGCAACTTTCACAGTGAAGCAAACAATACTGAAGCCCACTCAACTACCAAAACAAAACAAATTATGTCACCATCACAACAATCAATCCTCACACCAATTCAAGAAAATATTTCTATGCCCCACGACCCAATCCAGAAAAATATTCCCATGCCCCAGGACACAATGATAGTTACCCAAACAACGGAGACCAATCGGGCCGAACCCAGCCCAAATCCTACAATGATCAACAACGACTCAGTTAACCATGAAACCAGTGACCAAAACCAACTAATAGAATTATCTAATGATATTATATCTAAATTAAACCCACTGCCAGAAGGTGATACAATATCTCAACAGCAATTGGCAAGTTGGCAACAAACAAATAAACGTCTATATAGTCAGGCAGCTGCAAAAAGAGCCCCACAAACCAACAGCTACTCAAACAACCTGTGGATTAAAGAACTAACTAATGAATTAGAAAAACGTAAATCCCAAGTATTCAATCACAGCACTTGGAACAACAATAAAATACTACATACATTTAACAATGAGATAGCCCTCAAAGAGTTTATTAATCACAAAATCCAAACAGCAATTCTTCTTATAAATATACCCAAAGCTATAGCAAATAAGCTCAAATATAGAGACACAGCATTCTTTAAATCCTTTTTAAGAGATAAAAATACACAACCAGATCACCAAGTAGAATTCAATACCTTGATGAACATAGCACTAGAAAAGTATAAATGCAAACACAACACTATGCTGATTAATAAGAACAACCATGACCAAATCTACGACAAATTAAAAAAAAAGATAGCAATCAATAGCTTAATCTCACTAGATATAGCTCAACTTGGTGACTATGCCAGCGCTCAACATATTTTCTACCTTATCAACTTTGGCAAAATCGAAACAATCATGCAGTTCGAACTAGTACGAGGCATAATTAGCAAAACCCAATCAGCCAACAGGCTAGAACTACCAAGACTCCCCGAAGACATCCCAGTAGATATAGCAGACATACTACTATTTACTTTATCAATCAAAGATAACTACAAAACTGCATCGGTTGCCCAAACCCTAAGACTAGTATATATATTCAGAAACTTATTAGATTCATATTTCAAAAATGCTCGCACACCTCTGCCCAGCCACCCTGGACAAGTATACCACTCGATACGAAATCTCTTCCCAATTAGGGACAGAGCCAATCTACAATTCTTATTAGAATATAGAAGAAAACTTCAAAAACACTATATATTAAATGACAAACTACCTGCATTATACTTCGACCTACTCCCTGAAAAACTCGACTTACCCTCAACTAGGGTGTTTGGCATAGTGGCAAGGGCATGCCAATGGTGGCATGCCATAGTGGCATGCCACTGGCATGCCTAAAACA